AATGTAGCCTAGATATCATATTCATACAAAATCACTTGATACACTTGTATAAACGCTGGCGGATTATTTTGATCTGATACTTCTGAATCACGAATATCAACTAAGCTAATAGCGTATCAAATGGTATCAAAGAATCTCAGTGTGCTGTAAACGCTTGGTTCGTTTTGGATCATATATTAAAATTCGCTACTGCTTTTAAGTTCAAGTTAGAATTAGAAGTTTTACATCTTGAAAAGTGAAGACATCATGTCATTTAATCTGATCTGTTCTGAAGCAAATCGGTGTAAATAAGGACGTATCAAATATTTAATCCGCATCAATTTGATACGCGTACATACTAACCAATTTAACGATGTAAAAAGAGTCAATCGACAATGGCTGATATGTTATATATTAGGCCAATATTACATACGTCGATTTTTTTGTCGAACGATGAATTTTCAAGTATGTTAATTGGTTGCAAGCAGAAAGAATCTCGGACCTCTCTGTCCTATAGCCAATCAACAGGCTTGAAAAATTTATCTTACGACAAAAAACGGACGCATCTAATATTGTCTTAATAGATAACATCAGCCGTTAATGAATTGCATTGTCGATTGCAGATTATATAATCTTCAAAATACCACATGTACCGCCTTACTGCTCTTTTATAATTCTATTTTCTCGATGTATTTTCACTTTATATAGTAAAATATATATAACAACGTACATATTTTAATACTAATAGACACATACTGATAAAAAACATCGAAACGGTAAAAGAAAGCAATGCCTCTATATGTATACGATATGACACATAAGGCTGCATCCTCATGGAGAAAGAAGCCTCATCATATATCTTTTTTGTCAATATTTCGTTCCTGTTTCTGTTTCTGTTTGCTGTTTCTTTCTCCATGGAGACGCAGCCTAAATAAACGTTGTTAAATATGCATGAATTTAAAACTTTTTAAAATCTTCATAAATGCGGCAATGTATGAAATAAACATATGAATTACGTAGATAGATAGAATTACGTAGATAAATAGAAATCATTGACCTGGTAAAAAAAGCTATAAGTCGCTGATATAAAAAGCTATAAGTCGGTGAGTCAAAACGCATTTGGATGTGTACGTAAGTACGTACACATTAGGAAGGCTTTAACTTAAATGTGGATAATTTATACATCGAATGACAAATTTTTTAAAGACGTATGGTATAAAATCATGTGGTGTCCAATAATGTGGTGTCCAATAATGCGGTGTCCAATAATGTGGTGTCCAAGTAATGCGATGTTCAACTGTGCAATATCCAATCTTGCGTGTCCAATCGTGCGGTGTTCAATAATTACATGTCCAAAAAAAAGTCAATAGCGTTATCTAAGATCGGATTCGCGACTGACAATGGTTTCCCTGCACGCTAGTTGTGCACGGTAACCGTCTGTTTATCTAGCTATATTTTCCGCGAGGATAACAGAATTTGTCATTCGTCTGGAGCAATCTTGCTTCTTTAAAGAAAAACATAAATCATTTCTTTTCTTCTCGAAGCCCATCTAACGATACACTTTAGATTAACAGCAATTGGTTATAAAAATCTCGCGCGACATTGCAACTAACTACATCCTAGATAAAGGACACTACGCCTTTTTTTCGGAATATAAATAGAGGTCCAGCGGAAGCACAGAGCGTCAGTACGAAAGTTAAAATAACTCGGTACACATCGGTACGGATTCACTCCAGTGAAAAACCACGCCAGTAAACCCGTTCGTGTATCCGTGCTCGAGTCCATCGAATTATCAGTGTCTGCCAGGCACTCCTCAGACTACCTTCCTGGTGCATTTGCGCGGACAGCGGGGCTCCTAAGTCAAATACCCACCCGAAGGTTGTGTATCAAGCAATCCCCCGCACCTCAACAGTAAGTCAGTTGTTATACGCTCAATCCTATATGTCCCCCGTGAGGATATACAAATATATATATGCATATATATGTATATATTTAATATATTAATACTTAACATACTCTTATATTTAACCCCTCTTGGGTTCCATTATAGTGCGCGTGCGTAATACAAAAAAAAACACAAGGACAAATCCCGTATGTCCAAAGAAGTATGTATCTACAAGGTGCGTCCCAAAATTTTCCCAACTTTTTCAATAGGGATAGGTCGGGTGGCGCCATCCGTGTGTTCGATTGCGCGTTTGAAAGGTACATCCCTAGCTGACTTCCAGTAAAAATTTCATGACATTTGGTTCAGTGGAAACGAAGTTATGGCGTCTCAAGTGTCAGTATGTTGTATACATCGGTACGAGAATGAACTTCGAACAAAGAGCCAATATTAAGTTTTGTTTTAAACTTGGTAAAACATTTACCGAAACCCATAATTTGATGAAACAAGTTTATGGTGATAATTGTGTAGCCCGTGCCAGTGTTTATGAGTGGTATACGCGATTCAAGAACGGTCGTGAGGACATAAATGACGACGCACATACAGGTCGCCCAAAATCGACAATTAACGAAAATTCCATCGAAGTTTTTATGATTCCAAGGGTATTGTGCACAAAGAATTCGTTCCAGCAGGCCAAACAGTTAATGCTGTATTCTATGTAAGCGTTTTGAAGCGTTTGGTGCACCGCATTCGTCGTATTCGGCCAGAATATCGCGAAGGAGGAAGTTGGCGCTTGTTACACGATAATGCGCCATCTCACCGTTCGACACTTGTCACTGATTTTTTGACTAAAAATCACATTTTAACAATCAACCATTCCCCGTATTCGCCTGATATGGCACCTTGTGACTTCTACCTATTCGGCAAAATGCATTTGTCCATGAAAGGAAAGCGGTATGTGGACGTAGAAGACATCCAAAGGGCTTGTACCACTATTCTGAAGGACGTGCCTTTGAACGACATAAAACACTCATTTGAAATGCTTTTAGATCGTGCCAAACGTTGTATTGAGTCCGACGGGGACTACTTTGAATAAACAATTTGAATTTGAAAAAAAAAGTAAACCGTTGTTGTTTTATTTCAAAAGTTGGGAAAATTTTGGGACGCACCTTGTATATTATTTGGTGGGATCGGATAAGTTCAAAGTTAAAATAAATAATTGTAATTTAAAATATCCCACGGGCAAGAAAGTTGCAATTGATTATAAAATGTATGTCACAGTTCGACTTGGGAATTACTTGGTTGAGAGTTCAATGTTGGTTGCAAAAATTAACGATGATTATATTCATGATGTTGATTTCCTTGAAAAAATTAATTTTGGAAATATCTTCGAGTCTGTCTTTCATAATCAAAAAGAAATAGCAAAGGATGATGTTCAATGTTGACGAGTAGAAGAGTCTTTTAATATTCCATCGAATTTGAGAAGTCTTTTTGAGAAAGATTCTATACATTTAAATCAATCATAGAAGGAACTCTTTGCAAAACTTCTTATTGAATTTCGTGATATATTTGCTCAGGAAATTATTACTAGGAATTGTGAGGTTTAGGAAGCATGTAATTAATATAAAAGATTCTCTCCCTATCAAGCAGGTTTCTCGTCGAATTCCTATTAATATGAGGAAGAAAGTCAATAAAATTATTGAAGACATGAGCAAGATGTAATTGAGGAATCCCTGGATGTCCCCAGCTATGTTAGCAAGGAAAAAGGATGAGACATAAAAAGCGAATATTAGCAAATTAAAATTTGGCCAGAGGATAAAGAAAAGACAGCATTCTCTATCGGAAACGGGTTATGGCAATTTAAAGTGATGCTCTTCGGTTTGTGTAATGCTCCAACCACATTAGAGCGAATAATGGAGCAAATCTTACAAAAGTTTCTTTCAAAAAGTTGTTTAGTATATTTAGATGACGTTATTATTTTTGGTAAAAGCTTTGAGAAAATGGTCGAAAATTTAAGAAAAGTTTTGAGCCATATGCAAAAAGTAAATTTAAAAATTAATCCTAAAAAGTGCATCTTCTTTTCGAGAAGTAAAATACTTGGGGCACTCAATTTCAGTTGCAGGGATTTCCACAGATAATAATAAAATTACCATTATTAAAGAGTGGCCAAACGAAATAAAAAACATCTGCGGACCTTTTTGGGATTGTGCTCGTATTATCGTAAATTTGTGATTTTCTTTATTAGCAAAACCTCTCTACGCTCTTACAAAGAATCAAACAAAATTCGTCTGGGATCAGCAATGTGAGAACAGTTTGAAACAAGCTTTTACCTCCTCACCAATTCTTTCTTTTTCCAAAAAAGAGGGGGAACTCATTCTTAATACAAATGCATCGAATTTTGGAATCGGCAGTCTTGTCGAGTACAAAGACAAAATGGAAAAGAAAAAGTTATTTCCTATTTTAGCCGTGTTTTAAATAAAGCCAAGAGGAATTATTGTGTCACGCGACGCGAACTTTTGTCAATAGTTGAATCAATCAAGTTATTACGTCCTACAGACACCACGATTTTTTTTCTTCGGCTCCACGTCGCGACTACAATTGGCGTCTGCGAGACTCGAGCGGAACCTTCTGATAACAGTCTGACAGAATTGAAAAGAAGGACCGGACAGGCTCCGCGAAAACTCGTAAATGCCAATCAACCCGGAAGGAATAACAACCTTAATGTAGGCCCGAAAAGAGACAAGATTGCAAAAGACATTATAAATGCACCGAAGTTACGCAATAGAAAAAAATCTAGGCTTTGTCATCCGAGACTGACTAATAATTTCATCTTAGAAAAACAGGCGCCAAGTCGCACTTAAAAAATCGTAAAACGCATAGGATAACTTCCCACGAGATCGTTATCTAAAATCAGACTCGCAACTGACAATAGTAGCCCTGCACGCAAACTTATTTGTGCACGGTAATCATTTGTTTACCTAGCCGCGAGAATAACAGAATTCATCATCTCGGAGCAATCTTGACTCTTTAAAGAAAACCGTAAATCACTTCTTTTCTTCTCGAAACTACTCTAATGATGTACTCTAGATCAACAACGATAGGATGCTATAAAAATCATAAATCTCGCGTGACATTGCAACTAATTTTTGCATCCTAGACAATGCTCTTTTTTCGGGGTATAAATAGAGGTCCCGCGATAACGTCCCCCATTCTCCATACATTGAGTAAACCGATTTCTGGCGTTTGTCATGACTCTTGCCAGCATAGCAGGCGTTATGTTGGCAATTTCTTCTTGGATATTGGTCTTCAAATCTTGTAGGGTACTTGGACGGTTCACATAAACACGGGATTTCAAAAAACCCCATAGAAAAAAATCACAAGGGGTCAAATCGGGAGAGCGGGCCGGCCACTCCAAATCGCCCCTAATTGAGATGAGGCGCTCTGGGAAGTGTTCCCTCAATACAGCCATCGATGCTCTTGAAGTGTGTGCCGTTGCACCGTCTTGTTGGAACCAAATGTCCCCTAAGTCCAACTCATCTAGCCGTGGAAAAAAAAATTCCTGTAACATGTTTAAATATTAAAATAATCGGTCCGAATTCACTGTCACTGCGATTTCATTCTCCTCAAAGAACCAGGGACCAATAATTCTAGCTGAGGAAATTGCACACCACACTGTAACTTTAAGTGAATGCAAAGGCCTTTGATGCAATTCTCGAGGATTGGTGTCAGCCCAGTAGCGCATGTTGTGTTTGTTGACGGATTCACACAAATGAAAATGGGCTTCATCACTAAAAAAAACAATAGCGTCCTCAGAAACGACTTCAAGAAGAACCTCACACGCGTTCCTCCGAGAATTGAAGTCACGCTCAGAAAGTTCATGCGCAATCGCTATCTTGTAAGGATGGAAATGAAGATCATCATGAAGAATTCTCCTCATAGAACGATCGGAAAGTCCAAGGGCAGACGCATGTTTGCGCGCAGAACGCTGTGGTGATCGCAAAATTGAAGCTCTCACTGCCTCAATGTTTTCAGGTGATCTAATGGGCCGAGGGACTCCAGTTCTTCGTCTTGTCGCATTTGCAGTTTGTCTGAACGTAGTAACCCACGTAACAATTGATTTCCGATCCGGGACAGGGGCCAACGGGGCTAAATTAAAGCGATTCCGAAAGGCGCGCTGGGTTGCGATCACAGAACATCCGCTCGAAAAGTAGGCCTCGACGGCAAAAGCACGCTCCTCACTGTTCCAACGCATGATGGCGACTGAACTGTGTCGGGACAAAACTTTATACTCCCGCCTCTCGAACGAGACCACTAGCGTTCCGCTACGACATCAACCCACTGAATGACGGGCATTTCAAAAAAGGAAGTTATGCTGCCGCACCTTGTAGAACGCCAACATCAAATAATTCTAAACTATTTTAGGCGAAGTTCATTGATAAAAATCAAAAAGATTAGGATCGTTGGATTCTGATGTATCTGTTGGCATATAGGTCTTCCAAACATGAAGCCACTATAACTCCGGCGGAGTATTTTGTTCAAGATCTTAGATTTTCTGTAGACCTACTTCGAGGAAACCTCTGAGTATGAAGTAGAGAATTCAACGAATAATTATTTAAGTAAAATAAAGAAAAAGTTAGAAGAAGTTCACGATCAAGTTAAGAAACGGGTATTAAGTCTTCTCGAAGTAAGACTTGGTATGATCAAAAGGCCAGGCAGATTCATTTTGAAATGGGTCAAAAGGTTTGGCACAAAGGTTATACAATTCTCGAAGGGAAAGCTCCTAAATTGCAGAGCAGCTGGGAAGGTCCTTATTGTGTGGAAAGGAAGTTTAGTGATGTTGTTTACTGTATTCGCAAATCGAACAGCTATAAAAATAAAATTATACATAGACAGGTACGATTAGCACCGTATCTTGAGAGGCCTGCGGAATAAACTGATATTAATTCAATAAAGTAGAGCCTCCTATAGTGTCATTTAGCTTATTAATGTGGATTTATTTTGCAGCGCAAGTCGCGCGGTGATAACTCCTTTTTTTAGTTACAGGAATATACTGCAACCTTCGTGAGCTCGGCACTCGACGTGAGGAAGAGTAGTAGTATGAAGAGTAGTGTACTACTACTGGCATGCTGCAATATCAACAGCGGCGAAGAGCCTAGTTGAGGAAGCAGTATCTGGAGGAGCCCATCGGATGGAGCAACATCGGCGAGGAACTCATTTAGCAGATCTTTTTTTAAGAAGACCCCCCCCTTGCTCGCGGTTTTTGAGCCGTGATTTTTCCACAGGATGGAAGGCAGATGTCGAGGCGGGGATTGGGGACAAAGGTACTGCGGCGAAGCCAAACTTTTTCCCCCCCTCCCTTTCCGAAAAAAGAAGAAACAAGAACGTCTCAAGAGAATATTAAGATTCCCATCATGAAACTGAAAGGATGTCCGAGCGGGTTTCGTCCTCTGGAGGATTAGCTACCCTCCGAGGAAGAACTGAAGGGAGGCCTTCGCCTTTAATGATTGGGTCCCAAGTGGACCAGGATTCCAGAAAACTGTGGCAGCAGTGCAATAGGGAGCAAGAAAGTAGTCGGAAGCCTGGAATTCCTTAGAAGCTTGACGTTCTTCCACAAATTGTGATTGTCGAGATGACAATTTACAAGAGGGAGGGCAGTGTTATGCCCGTGTCTTGCCGACATTCGTAGTCTATGCGTAGACGAACATATTACCGAGACAACAAGTCAGTCAACTTTCTAACAAGGCAGACGTATTTAGATGTGAGCTGTCGACGCGTACGGAAGTTCTCTTGCGATCTGCTCCATCCTATATCTTCGCGATGTTCTTTGTGTTCTCTGTTCTGCATCAATATAAACGTTCTTGTTCTTGTTCTTAACTATCGTGTTATTATATTATTTCAGCGATTCGGGAGTACGTGTGTGCGTCTGCTAGAACGATCTCGTAAATCGGACGCGCGGACGTAATAATATTATCTCAGATATCTTATTTTTGTTTAGATTGGAGTTGTGTACAACGGCTTTAATGTGCACTGAGTGCGCACAAGTTCTGCTAATGAAAAAAAAGTAATGACTCGTTACATTTTGACTGACGGTAACGGTAAAGAATTACTTTAGCAAATCAATAACGGTTAATGATAACGAGTTACTTTTTAGGAAAAAGAACGGTAATGATAACAAGTTATTTTTATGAGGTAACATTGCCAACCCTGATATATATATACATGTATTACATTATACATGTATTGCATTATATATATGTACAGCCGATCACAGAAAGATTGCAACACTTTTTTTTTGATAGAACTCAGACTTACATGTAGAATGGTCGAATGTAAATGATTAGATCCATAAGTAAGAACCAATCACTCGGTGAGCAAACTGCATTCCGAAATCCAACGAAAAAAAGTGTTGCAACTTTCTGTGATCGACTGTATACTTATACATAAAGACTCATTCTCACCTAAGCCAATTGTGTCGACTTCCTTCTTTATGAAAAAAGAAAAAAAGACTGAATATCGATTATTAGCACAATCGGCTTTGATGGAGTCTTTAAAATGTCAAATAAGTAACAAATAAATAACAATTTTACATATCTGTGATGTTTGGCATTACAAATTTTGCATTACATAAGCGTTACATATGCATTTCGTCTCAATACGTGATTGTTATATCAACTATGTAAATAGTGTCACTGTTATATAACTGTAATAGGTAAAATAAGATGACAAATTCAAGAAAATTCTCCGAAAATTCACATATTAACTTTTGATATAACAATTAAATTCCAAAAAATTATGATTCATATTTGAGATGTATTTGTGTTTACTGAGCAATGATCGAGCGAGAATTTGAATTAAATTTTTTGATTAATTACGGCTATATTGTCCAACTTCACTTACTCCCGTACAGATCAGATATAACTCTGTGTAACTTCTGGTTATTTCATGAATTGAAAAATCCGTTAAAGGGAAAAAGATTTGACGTTAAATGCAACGTTTGGAGTTTTTCGACCTTCACACAACTGAGTACCATTGCCAATTAAACAGCTATTGGATCGTGCCGCTTGATGAGGGTACTCAAGGTTCAGCTTTCCATGGTGGAAGGAATAACATGATGCATGCAGTTGGGCAATGTTTCTCTCTAAATCTCTGCCGTCTCTGTCTATGGATGTCGCGTAAGAGACAAAGACTAACTGTGAAACGTGAAACATATTTCGTGTCAAGAAATGGCATATTCAATCTTTCCTTGTCTGATTTACTTTATAATGAATCTTAATTTTTCTTTTTAATCTTCATAATTTCTGTCTTAAATTAAATATTGAATAAAAAATTAAATGAACAATGACAATGCTAATAACCAATATGGAATAAGTAAAAGGATATTACCAATACAGTAAATATCATATTATAAATATATATATATATAATTATTATGACAAAATCATTAACATAATTAAAATTATATAATTAATATTATATAATACATAATATTAAAATAATTAGTTATAAATTAAATATATTAGCACATATATTTTGGTTAAAAATTAAGTATAATTAAGTTAAAAATTAATTATGGCATGAATAGTAAAAAATTTGTCATGCATGAATATATGCAAATATCATAAACCTGTATAAACATGGATAAAAATATAATTATATATAATTGTATATGAAATATGTTGTATGCGAATATGTCCATACATGTCCATACTTCTTCTTTCTTTTATGAAATTACTGTTTTATTAAACAAAAATTATAACAATTAGGAAACAGAAATAATTGCAAAAATAATTTTCACATTATATTAGAGAAAATCATTTCATATATAATTATTATATGTATATATATATATATATTAGGTTGGTGCATATGAAATGTCGGATTTTCTTTACATATGAACATTTGTCACCCTGTTTTCGTTATGCTTTTGTTTTTGGCATAACCTCGTTTATAGTCGTATTGTCCATTGCCAGAGTCACATTTCAACAAAGATTTTCTCAAAAATGTTCTATTTTGTTATTTGTTTTGAATTTCGTAAGGATATGAATTCAATTGATATTCATGTAATTTTTTTATGAGTATAAACTTGGTAATAATGCTGCAAAAGCTGCACGCAATATAAACTAGGCATTTGGGGAGAATACTGTTAATGATCGAAAAGTGCAGCGTTGATTTGAAAAATTTCGGTCTGGTGATTTTTCCCTACAAAATGAAGACGCGTGGAAGACCCAAAACGTCTGTGAAAAATGATGCTCTGAAAGCATTGGTGGAAACGAATCCAACTGTATCTACAAGGGAACTTGCTACCAGAATGAAAGTTGACCATACAACGATATTGCGACACCTTTTTGAAATTGGCAAGGTGAAAAAAATGGATAAATTGGTACCACACGAACTAATCGATCGGAATAAGCTGGATGGATTGAATATGCTCATCATTACTAACTCGATTTCATCGAGAATCATTTTTAGATCGGATTATTATTTATGATGAAAAATGGATTCTTTACTACAATAGGAAAAGGTGTGCTTGGTGACTTAATAGGAATGAGGCTTGTGCTCATACTCCAAGGCCATCACTTCATCCACGGAAAATTTTAATAACAGTTTGGTGGAATGTGACTGGAGTAATTCATTACTCATTCCTTCGAACACTGGGGAAACAATTACAACCGAAAAGTATTGCCAGTATATTGATGAAATGCATGAAAAATTGAAAATTATACGCCCATCACTTGTTAATCGGCATGGCCCAATACTTCTCCACGACAACGCTCGGCCGCATACGTCGTACAAAACAATTGAGAAATTAAATCAATTAAAATATGAAATTTTGTAGCACCCAGCTTATTCACCGGATCTTTCGCCAACCGACTTTCATTTTTTTAAACATTTAGTACAGTTTTTATGCTAAACAGTATGAAAATGAAGACAGAAAATGAAGACTGAAAAATTCCATATCAGAGTTTATTGATTCTAAAGATCAGAATTTCTTTAAGATAGGCATCTATGCATTAAAATCTCGTTGGGAAAAGTGTATTGAAACAAATGGAGCATATTTTGATTAAATAAACAATTTTTGAAAAAAGATATGCAGTTTTATATATTCACTTAAAAATCCGACATTTCATACGCACCAACCTAATATATATTCTAGAGCAATAAAAAAGTTGTGTAACGCGTACGACTTGTTACTTTACAGTTGTCTACATTACTTTTATATTAGCGAGAAGTTATCGCTTCACATCGTTGACT